TGTCGAACAAGGGCAGCATTCATCGTGGAGGGGGGACACAGCGGGACCAGGGCGCTGGGCTGAAATAAAGCCCTTCTGTCCTGCTGCCCTCTCTGGCTGCCAGCACGTGCTTAACCCTGCCGCCACACGCGACACTGCAGGGTGGGTGTGAGCTTCGGTGGTTACCCCCTACCCACCCAAATGTTTTTTTTTTTTGGGTGGGAGGGTGGTGTCACACGCTATTCCTGTTGGTCTGAGCAGCTGCAGCCCCACATGCAGCCCAGGGACCCACTGCGTGGCTGCCCCTGTGAGACCCACGCTGTAGCCCCGAGCCCACGCTGACCCTGCCGGCACTCAGCAGACTGAGTTCACCGAGCCTGGCATCACTCTGCCAGGAAATTTTGGGGTCCACGCTGTGACCGGTGCCTGCCGGGAGCTCTAGGCTGAAAAGGGAACTATGGGAGAGCTGGAACACCATAGTGAGCAGACAAAAAAAAAAAACCCACCCAGAGCCCATGCCCATCCCAGCTCTCGCTCCTGCCTGTCGCTTTTCACAAGCCCCGTTAAACCATTCGCAGGAGCTTTACCCGCGTGGATGGAGCAGCACAGCCCATAGGGATGAGGGGAGATGGGGAGGCCTCTGGGTCTGTGTCCTCCCCAATGAATGAGCAGAGGGGAGCAGATAAGCCCCCACAGTGGCTTGCAGCAGCCGGGGCTGCAGCCAGGCTGTGTCCTCTCCTTCAGACCCTCCATGGAGGAATTGGGCAGCAGCTCTCACGCCTCACGCCGTCTGCAGGAGGTGCCTGTGCCTTTTCACACTAAAAACCGAGACCTGAGCAAAATAGTTTGGGAAATACAGAGGAAGTAAAAACAAGGGCGAGTAGGGGTGAAGGAGCCCGGCCCCATCCCACACCCCATCTACCTTCCCCGCCGAACCGCTGCACCAGTTCAGGGACCACACCAGCTGCAGCGCGCAGCCCCACCGAAGGGAGCCGGCCTCGTGTGCTCCCCCTTTCCCCTGGGCGTGAGCAGCCTCCTGCCCAGCTGGACAGACGGCCAAAATCCCAGAGGAGAGCAAAGCCCTTGCAGCCCTGGGCAGAGGGCAGGCTCCCAGGGCTGGCTGATCTCCGATAACGTCAGTGCGTTCCCCATCTCTTCCTTCTCCCAGCCTCAGCCAGCAGAATTAATTCTGCGTGCGGAGGAGCAGGCTCTGCAGCGTGGCCGGGGCAGTCTGGACACAGCCCAGCCCCTGTGCCAACATGCCTTGGCTGAAAACCATCGCTTAGGAGGAGCCTCTGCGTGGTGGATGGGGTGGGAGCAGGTCATCCACCTCTTCAGGGATGGGAGACGAGGGCGGAGTGGGGGGCTCTGCTTATTTCAGCGGCGCAAAGCAACGCCAGCAGAAGAGCTGGCCCTTCAATTCCCTCCCAGAAGAGGAACAAATAGATGTCCCGCCCTATTAGGCATGCAAAGATCCCAATTCAGAGCTTGAAATTCAAGGCAAGATGAACAGCTTCAGTAGAATAACCTGACTTACAGGAGTTTTGTAATCCCATTGTTTGCCTAATACCGTTTACCCTTTACTACAGAGAGAACTGCAAGGAGCAGACACAGGGCTCCGGCAGCACTTGCTGGGAAGCCCAACTAAACCTGACCTCCCACCTGCAGCTGCCCCAGCTGAAGACAGGGCAGAGAAGACACCCATTTCACTCCATGAGCCTCTGCATGAGTACAAGAACAAGTTAAAAAAACCCACATAACTAGAACAAGCCTGTGCTTAGGATGAGGGCTGGTCTGTGCACACACCTTGAGCAGCTGCTGTGCTGCTTGAAGGCTTCAGAGAGGAAACAAAACCTGGGGAGTGAGGGGGAAGCGTAACCTGTTGAACGGAGATCAGGAGATGATCCAAAAGGCCAGCTCTCAAGTGAGACCGAGAAGCAGATGCTTCCAGCAAAAGCAGCGCTCCTGTCCCCTCTCATACTCCATCCAAAGCCCCAGGTTTCCACCTCGGGGAAACGGCGCTCTAACCTGCATGATGTACCTTTCCTCTTACAGTTTTCCAGCCTGTGTAATGGGGAACCTGCTGCAGCTCCGGCCAGGAGAACAGCCAGCGGCCAGCCCCAGCGTGACTGTCAGTGATGAGGAGCTCTAGCTGACAGGGAAGGCAGGCTGATGAGCTGGGGAGGAGCTCTCTCTCCCAGGTCCAGAAGGGACTGCAGAACAGAAAAAATGCAAAACAAAGTGGTTTAGGAAGGTAGACTTTGTATTTCCCACCCCCCAAAACTGCTAATTCACAGATCCTATTAAGTGGGATCCGCAGGAAGAACAATCTGTTGTGGGAAGCGATGGGACTACTTGAGAAGCTCAACAGATGCCCTTGAGGCAATGAAGGGACTCCAGCAGAAGCCAACTACCATCAGCCACCAGGACCAAAGAACTGCTGCCCACCTCTCCACCTGCAGGAGTCCAGCTAGGAATGATACGTTATCTGGGAAACACTGGGAGATGGGCTGCAATGTCCGTGCAAGTTGTGATGTGGCAAAATACTGGTTGGGTTTGCAGCACGCGGTACTGTAAAAGATGACAGAAAACACCACAATACAAGTGCAAGTTTCATGAAACTTTTTATTCAACAAGTATTTCATTATGATTCTGCCAAGATGATCAAATGAACAGCAAGGCATAAAAAACATGAAATAGTTAAGAGATTTTATTCTAATAGCTTTAATTACAGTGCTTGTTTGTCGAAATGAAAACTGAAAACAAGTATACAAAACAGTTGATTACTAATTGTGTATTGAAAGCAATAAAGGTTTCCACAACACTAAATAAACCAGTTCTGATAGTTCCTCAAGTTAAAGTTTAACAGCTCCAGCTTCTTCAGTGTTTATCAAAATACAAAAGAAAAGTAAAGAGGTCTTTTTCTGATGGCAAATCTGAACCTTGCAGTATGAGGGATGCCAAGGGTTTTCACACATATACAGATATGGGATTGTTCCAAAATGGGATTGAATACTTCTAGAGTGGAATGACTCTCCAAACTCTCATGCTTTTTTTATTTATTTTTTTTCCTAGACACTATACATAGATGTTTGGTGTTTTTCATGGCAATTCTTACGTTAAGTACAGTACTTTCTGCCTATAGAGCTCAGGACTGGTACAGGCTGTGCTTTCTGCGGAAAGGTTTGCCTTCTGGAGTGGTTTACACACAAGAAAAGTACAAAACACTTTTGACAAATATGACAGGCTAAAAAATGTTGACTTCTGGAAATCATTCAAGTTCAATGGAAGCGATAAATCTCACCTGAACCAAAAGTTAGTTTAGCATGAGTCTGCAAGCTCATCTAAACCAGGTCCGACAAATCTTTTCAGGAATATGAACAATCATGAGCACATACTATGAGCTACAGAAAGAGCCAGAGATCTATTAGTTATGATCTGTTCTTTAACCAGATGAAGCTAATTGGGTGTCGATCATCGCTTCACCATTTCAAAAGAATCAAAAGTCACCACATTAGCACTAGAACGGCAGAAGCTATGTCAAATGTTT